CATAACTAAACCATGCATTACTAAAAACTGCGTAAGTCTAACCAATAACCAAACAGCCCCTAACTATATGAGATCTAATCTATGACATTATACAACTATGTATTTTGAGATATTACTTTTTTTTATTGCAATTTGGTTGTACGTCTCAGGTATATTAGTCAAGTAATTTTTAGAAACTGAGGAATATAAACCATATTTAGAAAAACATAATATATAAATATATCTTTTAACTTGACTTCGTCTGACATCTATGACATTCTACTTAGGGAGTGCACAAGTAAGCACTTAAAATTTTATAAAGTTGAAGAAGTAGACACACGCGTCCTACGGGGAATAACACACGTGGGAGCCACATAAAATATCGCATAGGACGTGAATTATACATAGGACGTCAAGTAGGACACAAGTGTCAACTTGTTCAATTCTATACAAGTTTATGTGTCTACTTATGGATATCTAAAATTGAAGGACATGTTAGATGAAACAAATTAAATGACATATTTATATATTATGCCTTTAGAAAAAGTATATTTAAATTCTAAATATTTTTTGCATAAAATTTAACCAAACATGACTTCAACTATAAATTTTTTAAATAAAATAAACAGTATTTTTTCATGATCAAACCACACTAAGAAAGGAAATGATTAAATGCCCTCAAATTTGAATTTTTGGTATGAAAAAATCTCATTAAAAATTATACATTCAAAAATAAAAAAGAATTTTTAAAAAAATTTATCAGCTTGAATGTACATGGTTTTGAAGTAAATCAATAAATGGGGTCCATGTAATTTTGCAATGATTTCTTTTACTCCTCCCAATGTATTGGTACACGTGTGCCCATTAAAATCCACAACTATTGACTTAGTGATGGATTCATTGGGAATTACATAAATTTTGGTTGGTTTTTTTGGAAATTTTAATACTTTATGCACAATGTACACTTAAACTAAGCTTGAAATATTTTTTGTTTGACAAAACTACCCTTGGTCGTCTGGTTGGCTTCATCTTTCTATATAATAGAAATATATTGGTTATAGTAATTCTTATTGGAACACATGTTGACTTGTGGTGCTTGGTTATTCCCTCTTCTTATATAGTAATATTTCAAATTATTTATTATTTAGAAGTTCAAAACAAAATTAATTATTTTCTTAGCATTTCATCGTTGTAGACATTGCTTTGAAGACTCTACAAACACCTCAATTGTATTATAAGATGGTATTACGATTATTTAAATATCAATAAAGGATAAATTAGTTAAAAACACTTCTTAATATTTTTCAAGACATATGTAAAAGAAAATCACGACAAATAATTTAAGATAGAGGAAATATTAACTAGGAGGTTTTTTTTTTTTTCTTGGAGGGGAAGGGGTCTATTTTACCCTTATTTATGTCTTAAAATATAATATTTTTTCATTAAATATTTACTCTATTAAGGTAGATGTTTTGTAATTTTTAAGAGAAATTACTAGTAAAAGTAAAATGAGAAAAAATAACATTTTGTTATGAACATTTAAAATAAGAATAACAAATAATTTATTAAGACAACTTTTTAAAATCACAATAGATAATTTAAGGGGACAAAATGAAGTAAATAATTTCGTTTTGGGGGGTCCTTTTGCATTTAAAGTAAATAATTACTAAGTTTGGTGACACAATTAATTTCAATCTTTTCAAAGGAGAAATATCTATGAAATCAATTGTAATATAGCTTACAAAAAGTTTATTTTCGTTTATTAGATTTGTTTTTAATCAGTGAAATATTATTATCGTTAGTTTTTGAAATTCGACATTCAATTCAGAAGTGTTATGACCAATTCGATACAAAACAACTCAAAAGATTAAAAAATATCATTAATTTTTTCATGTTTGTTTGAAAGTAATTGATAACCACTTCTAAAAAAAAATAAAACTTATAACTGTAATAATTATGGCTGATAATAAACCTCTGTGTACTCTATAATAATCAGATGTATCTGAAAATGATTCAAACGATCCTACATTCTATTGATAGATAAGTCTCTATTTAAATTTTAAAATTTTTTAATAAACATTGAATTTAATGAGTCATAGTGAACGAACTAACATGACGAAAACTTAATATCACTTTTTTTAAAAAAAAAATTACTCCACTTATCACGCCCAAAAAGAAGTGAATTGTTCTAAGGTTTACTTGGACTTCTTCCAATCCGTGCAGCTCACTAAAATTATTTTTTTCCCTAGATAATATATTTAGCTATATATAATATGTGTCATGACTTCAAACTAATTAACTATACTAATAAAATTAAAATTCCCTTATAACTTGTTGAGATTATCTCTGTTATTTACCTTTCGTTAGATTTTGATTTGTTTTGACTTTCTTATCTTATTTGAATTGACAAAGAGCTTACCATAATTATTATTTTTACTCTTTCCTCAAAAGAAAAATATAAATCTTTTATATTTGGGAAACCAATTTCTTGGAGGAGATTTTTCTTTGACTTTTATAAATTAAAGATTTTTCTTTCAGACACAATAAAATTCGTAACATAATCATTAAAGAGTTTTAATTTGAGAAAAAAAATATTCTCTCAATAATTTTTATGTTATATGTTATATTAGTTTTATCATATATAGGCCAATTGACTGAACGATGTTAAATATTATGTCTCTTTAATATATTTTTCGTTTCTTCAATGCCTTATTTGACCTTAGCTCGAACCATGTATTCACACACATATTTTTGTAAAAAAATAAATAATTATACATATAATAATATGACAGTCATTCAATTTAAAAATATAACATACTAATATCACAATGCGTAGACTTTTTAGATTATGATCAATAATTTGCCTTTGTAAAGTCAATGGAAGAAATCAACTAAGAATAATGATAGTACAAAGTACAAACTTGTAATGAATAGTAGTACGATAGAATTGTCCACACCCTTTCAACAATATTTCTATATAAACATGTTGAATGAAGGCGTAAGTAAACATTGTCATTTGTTCAAATAATTAAAAGTCAAACATTTGATAATAATCTTGAAGAGAAGGCAATATAATGGCATTCAAGGTGTTCAATTTCATCATTGCTATTGTTGTGATCATGGTGGTTTCTGTGACTGCCCATGAAGGCCACAACCATGGACCAATGGCGGCTCCGATGGACCCCGGGAGTGCCATCACCAATTCTTTCCCATCCGCGATGGCTGGACTTGTTGCTTTGATTTTTTCGTTCATGGTCATCAGGGAAAGGATTTGAGATATGAGAATATCTCTCTTTGACTCATTAATAATTTGTTTCTATTGTGTTTGATGTACTCATCGTGTTATTTTCTAGCACCAATATGTATCTTCTCTCTTTTGTTTTTTCCCTTTGTTGTCATGATATTCCTATTTTCCGATTGGGTCTCGTTTGAACTTAAAACACCTGTGTTTGCCCTTCTGAACGAACGCGCACCATTTAATAAGTCGTGACTAACACCAACAAAAAATTTCCGGGCCTGATTTGAACTTGAAAAAAACTACTTGTGCCCCTCCGAACCAACGCTCACCATTTAATTGGTCATAACGGACGCCTATGAAATATTCCGGCCATAAAATAGTCAGGTGCACATATCACACAAAATTCATGGACTATCCATATATATTTCCCATTCTGGTCTCGTTTGAACTAGAAAAAACCTACATTTGCCGCTCTGAACCAACACACCATTATATAGTCTGTCATGAACTCCCACAAAAAATTTCGGTATAAAAATCACCGGGTGCACATATCACATAAAATTTATGGACTATAACACACGAAAAATAGAAAATTCTCAATTTTCTGGTCCGAACCTTGTTTGAACTTGAAAATGCCAACGTTTGCAACTCTGAACCAATGCACACCATTAAGAAGGTCATCACGGATGTCCACGGAAAATTTTGACCAAAAAACCGTCAGGCGCAAATATCACACAAAACCCATGAACTATAACACATGAAAAACAGAAAAATTCCTATTTCCTATTTCGAGACTCATTTGAATTGGAAAAAACCAATGTTTTTCCCATCGAAGAAATGCGTATCATAAAGTAGGTTCAGGGACGTCCACAAAATATTTCGGCCAAAAAATTGTCGGGTGCACATATCACACAAAATCTTTGGACTATAACACACGAAAAAAAATCCCTATTTTCCGGTCCAGAGTTTGTTTGAACTTAAAAATATCTATGTTTGCACCTCCAAACCAATTCACACCATTTAATAGGTCGTCACGGATGGCCACGAAATATTTCGACAGAAAATCATACCGCGCACATATCACACAAAATCCATGAAAATAACACATAAAAAAATGAAAAAATCCCTATTTCCCATTCCGACCCTTGTTTGAACTTTAAAAACCAACGTTTCCCCCTCTGTACCAACGTGTGCAATTTAAAAGGTCATCACAGACGTCCACGAAAAATTTTGATCAAAAATCACCATGCGCACTTAAATCACTGGACTATACCACTCGAATAATGGAAAAAATGAAAAAATCCCTATTTTCCATTTTGTATTTCGTTTGATCTTGAAAATACCTACGTTTTCCCTTTTGAATCAATGCACGCCGTAAAGTAGGCAAATATCAACCCTTATTTAATATTTTCTTAAATCAACTTTGTTAATAAATGACAAGATTAATTAACTATTCTATCAAGGGTATAATAGGCAAAATATGGTAATTTATGCATAAATTTTATAAAATGACAAGTATTGTGGTCCATCTATTTATAGAAAGAGATGACATATAAAATGAGACGAAAGGAGTAGTAATTTATAAGTATAATTTTACTATTTTTAAGAAGTAAATATCGAAATTTAGATTCGGATCGCTTATGAATCCCAAAATAAAAGGGTTCCTTAGTAAACCTAAGTAACACCAAATTAGGATTGGATTTCTCTTGTTATAAAAGGGGATCAGATTAGCTAGGTTTTGTTTATTCATCAAATCAAAGTTTGGTACTTTTCCTTCAAAATCATGGTTGCGGAGAAAGTTGGAGTTCCATTGTTGATGCTCGCAGGGAATGAAGAAAAACGTGAGTTCTTGGACTTAACCAAAGGTATCACTTACACCATGAATTTTCCACAACTTGTTGGAAAACGCTGTTTGGGTGTTGGAATTCCAGGGTGGCTTTTCACAGCAGATGGGGAAGGGAATATGAATTTGTTCCATCTCAATTCTCGTTCTCTGATACAATTGCCTCACATGACCACATTGAAAGGTTTCGATTCTGATAATGAACGCGGTTACTGTGAGTATTATGTTCAAAAAGCCGTGCTTTCTTCAGATCCTCATACAACTGACGACGATTATATTTTAATGATTAATCAAGGAGTTCCTCGTACATTAGCTTATTGGAAACCTGGAAAAAATGGTTTTATCACAGTTGAAACGCGCAAAGCCACTTATTCTGATGTAACATGGCATGATGGACAATTTTATGGGGTTGATGTTCGAGGAAACGTTGTAATATTGGATTTTAGAGGAGAGTTAGAACCAACTATTGGAAGGATAGTTCAAGGCATTCCCTCTGATTTTATCTGTGGAATGAAACTCTACATTGTACATTCTCAAGGTGAACTATTTGTCATCACTCGAGATGGAATTTGTAATCATCCCGAAACAAAGACCTATGGTGTTGAAGAATTTGTTGTTTGCAAGGTTGATGTTGATAATAATGAGATCAGTTATGAAGAGGTTAATGATTTGGACAACAGTTCACTCTTCCTCGGATTTAGTGCCTCTGTGGCTGTTGACGTTGAACAGTATGGATGCAAGGCTAATCATATATATTTTACTGATGATTGTTCTACCGCATACTATTCTAGTGAAAAAGGAGGTGGCAAGGACATGGGCATATATAACTTGCTTGACGATACAATTGAGCCTCACTATACTGGTGAATCCTATCACAGATTTAGTCCACCTATATGGATCTTCAACACTCCTTTTTCTGCTTAGTTTTTATTTTAGTATTTCCAGAGTAACTATTTTCTATCTTGTGTTACCTACTTGTTAATTTCCTAGCTTTCTTTCTGTTATGTAATTCGATCTTCTTTTGATACTATTTAATTACTACTTATTTTCTTTAATCCATTGCTTCCTTTTTGCCATGCTATATACAAGGTTGTGGTATTAGCTAATGTGTAAATGACTTTTCTGAACTGTATACAAGATTGGTTCTTTAGCTAAACTTTAATACGGAGCTCTAGTATGAAGTAGTACTAGTTATTGTATTGTATAATAAAGTTTGGTTATGAGTTATGCTGCTCAAATTCTTTAAAAATGTCAACGAGTACTTGTCGAGTTCTCTAAAAATAGTGTATTTTTAAAGAATTCGACATGAGTGAAGCATCAAAATTGAAGAGTCCGCACAACTCAGATTATGAGTGCTTTTTTTTTAATTTCTAGCCAACTTGAGAATGTTATCTAGCTTGATGAGAATGTGTTAATATATTTGGTCAACCATTTGCTCATTTTAATTTTTTGGTATTCATTGATTCGACTAATTTAGAATCACACTCAATGTAAGGTTTGTTAAGAAAAGGAAGAGCTTCCTAATTAACAAGAGTTTCTTTATTATCAAGATTTAAACTCGAGGCCTATGACCAATCACCCTTTATATAATTTAACTCTTTTTTCGTTCATGCATTTTTTTCTATGCTTTTTGCTGGTCAACAACCAGTTAAATTGTTTTTATATTTTTTTTATTATTTATTGATCCAACTATTTAGGTTTACGTCGCATAATGTCTATTAAAGGAGGAACGCATTCCCTAACTACTTAAACTCTCTCCATATCTAAGATTTAAACTCGAGGCTTATGGTCTCCCTTTATTTTTAACTTTTTTTGTTTATGCATATTTATCTGATGTTTTTCATTGGCCAACAATCGAGTAAACTACTCTATACGTTTTTACTACTTACCGTTCAACCATTTAGCTTATGCGACCAATATTGAATAGATCAGGTAGATAAATAATATTTTATTTGACGTTTTATATGATAATTTTATGTTCTACGTGATGTCTTACATATATTATGTCACATGGGACTAGTGTGCCCACTTGATCAATTTTATACAAGATTAAATGTCTATTTGTGCACATCCAAAATTAAAGGGCATAAATATCAGCTAAAGTCAAGTTAAAGAACATATTTATGTATTATACATTTATCAGGAGATACCATTTAAAATTCTTGCGTTTTCCAAATAAAAAGGAAGATTAAATATTAAAACTTTTAATATAGTTCAAATAAAGAAAGATTTAAAAGTAATTTCAATCAGTTTTAAAGTACTAAATATTAGGAGTTTTACCTTTTATAAATCAGTAAAGATTTAATAGTTATAACTTTAATTAATTTCAAAGTTTTAAATATTATTTAATAATTATATGAGAAAAATAATATATGACAAGTTTTATCTATTACATAATCTTTTAATGAAGGGTAAAACAATCAATCAATTTTTCTATTTATTTATACATAGTACATATATGGGTTGAGCCAAAACTATGGAGTTGAAATGAATTCAAAAGTTATTTACTAAATTTGCCCCTAATAATGTCGCAACGCGTATATATATGGGGAAATTGTATATAATAGCAAACTATTAATTCAAATTAAATGCTATAAACATAATTTGATTTAATTGTACCCCATAGCAAACTGTTGTTATTTCGCCTCTCTCCTGGTGAATCTCGCTCGCCACTCTCGTTCTCTCCCTCGCCTCTCTCGCTTTTTATACAAACACAAATGTATAAAATGCATTTGTGTTTGTATAAAGCGAGAGAAAATTATATATATGCATATATTTTTGTTCCCCTCGCTCCCCTCTCCTAGATCTCGCTCGCTTGCCACTCTCCCAGATATCGCTCGCCAGTCTCTCCCTCGCCTCTCTCGCTTATACAAAGAGAAATGTATACATTGTGTTTCTGTTTGTATAAAGCGAGATAAAATTGTATATACACATGCAAATACATATATCTTCATCCTATACACTTATAATTATACAATACAAATATTCCTCTGTCCAGTTCTCTTTTGCATTTCTCTCTTTCTCGCTTTATACACACACAGATTATACAATTGATCTTTTGTATATGTATACCGAAACAGAAACAAATTATATACATTTTCTTTCTTTTGTATATGTATAGCGAAATATACAATTTATGTTTGCTATGGAACGCAATTATGTAAACTATAGTTATAACATACAAATATGATTTTTGTGTTTGCTATATGTGAAAGTTGCTCTACATATATCATAAGTTGCATTATAAGAAAGTGTTGTAGGAACCTCTATGTCCCATTCACCCTATTTAAGTTCATTTTAATGCAATAACAAATTATCTTATTCGTGTTTATTTCAATCCAACGTAATTTGACAATAAGGCGTGTATGAAAGACTCAAGTCTACATAAATTATATGAGTTATACAACATACTGCTACAAATGAAAACTTAGGTGTATCAAGTCTGATTTTCTCGATAAAAACTTAATTTTTTAAATTTAAGGGTATTCTAGGGATCGATTCGTTCTGGTAGAAAGTCAGAAATTTAGCATAAAAAATCTTTCGTTAATGAATATTTAAAATATAGAAAAAGAAAAAGAAGAAATAGTATACGATTATGACGGAATATGACGTAGTAATTAAATATAGGACTATTTGGTCAAAACTATAAAATAAAATAAAATAAAAAACAAATCTGGCAAATTGTATTAACTATATGACAGTTGATTGTTAAACATTTATCGTATCTATAATAATAAACAAATCAACAGATAATTCACAAATCAATGTGTCTTTATACCACTTTGACTATAGAGTCCTCGAGATAAACTTGTTCTCTTTTTAAACAAAAAGCAATTAAAATTAATATTTTTTCTAATTATTATTTGTTTTATTTCTTTTAAAATATACACAAACAAGTGTGAGTTCTCCACTATAAATTTGCCCATCCAATGAGGTCTTTTCATTATCACAACACAACTTATATTCTCCATTCTAACAAAGAAAAAAATGGCAATAAAATTCAATTCCATCCTTGGGATTCTCTTAGTGGTGCTTGCCACCGTGCTCCTCCATGTCTCCGAGGTACAAGGCGGTCGGAAAATAGTAATTAACGGAGACGATTGGGTTGACATACCTAATGTACAAGATCCTAAAATAGTGGAAGTAGGAAGATTTGCGATCCATGAGATTAATAAAGAGGCTAAAACAGAATTAGTATTTCTAAAAGTAATAGCCGGACAAAGTCAAATAAAATCTACTGAGGCAACTATTAATTTTAAACTGTTGATCTCCGCCCTAGACCGTGATTCACCACATTACTATCAGGTAATGGTGTCAGACAAGGAGCGGGGGAAATCTAGGAACCTCACTTCCTTCAAAGAATGTACTAAATTTGATAAAGATATATACACATGTCGGTGATTTAGTTGATAAAGATACTAGATTTGATCGGAATATCTAATCTTTAAAATAAATCTAGTGTAATTTATAAAAGTTAATGACATCAATGAAATGAATCTTCAATTGATATGAGTATGCTTGGCATGATTTATTTTATTTAATGTTATATGATCACTTGATAAGGTTTATTATTTTCTAATTTTTTTTGGGCTTGTAGCATTTTTCCTTTGTGAAAATTTTATAATTGACATATATATGACTAATAATTTCAAGTTATGAGATTATAATAATTCTTTCAAGTTGTAACAATAAAAAATTGCAAGTTCTAACATTTTATTAAAATAAAAAATGTTTTAAAATTACAGCAAAAAGTAATTTGTTTTAAAAAAATAGACGGTAAAAAATGGATAAATTAATAGTAATTAATTTGAATTGATTAATGATCATTAATATGTGCCATAAATTTAGGAGATTCAATTAAAAAAACGGAATATTTGTTTTCCATTTTTATCTTCAATCAGTTAAGTTTAGTCCAAAAATAGATTTTCTTCTTTCATTCAAACGTTTCTCTCTCCTCTCATTTTTTTCTGAAATTTGTCGTCACTCACAACTAGTTTCAATTCGTTTTTATTCAATAATCTTCATGTTGTTGTAATGGATAGCTTCGTATCAATATTAATAAAGCATGATGGTAGATGGATCCTTCAGGTTAGTATTTTTTGCGATTTTTTATTTGTATTGAAGAACCATGATGCTGGAAAGTAAATTTTCAGTTTTTGTTTGTGTATAATAGAATTTGATTATGACTTTTTTGGTATGAACATTTTTTTTTAGATTACATAATATAAGTTTGAAGCTGGAATAGATTTTGGTATGAATTTTTTTTTAATTTAAGATTTCTGGTAAAAGAAATTACATAAAATTTATTTGTTATTGATATACTGTTTATACCATTTTTTGCATGATTTTAAAATTATATTTGAATGAATTACATATAAATCATTACTTAATAAATGACAATTAATTGTCAAAATTAGGAATATGTTTATATTATATTGGCATTATGCTGCTATGAAAAAAATTATGATGTATATGATTAAATAGTAATAATGTCCGGATGATATATGTATGAAAAGTGTGCCCAAAAATGTATCAAATGTGTATATTTCATTCTATAATGTTTTATGGTATGATTTCTGATTTGAATGGATATTTTTTTGGCATTCTTATGTAATGAATTTGGTATACTGTTTATTTAAGAAATTACAATAAATATTTATAAGTTTAGAATTATTTTGGTATTCTATTGACATGATATTGGTATGAATAATGAGTAAAAATATGTATGAAATGTGTGAATGAGAATTGTATTAAGTTTGTATACAAATATAACACATGTAATTTTTTTCTTTTGTATTCTGTACGACTGACACGGTGATTTCTAGATGAAACAGGAAAATATGTTGATTGTTTAAAATATACAATTCAAAAAGTGTCGGAACATAAATTAACGCTGGAAAGAGTTTGTTGATTTGAAATTCAAG